TTGTGGTTGTGTTTTCCCACAGTGGTTGTGGTTGTCTTATAACGAGTTCGTTTGGTAGGTGCTGCAACCAGGTGGTTAATGATATACGTCTTCGGAGGCTTCTTACTTTATTGTTAAGTCGTGGTGGGTACACAGGCTTGTGTGTTGTGCCCGTGGCCCGGGAAGGCCATCCCACGAGAGAGAGCTAGGAGTAGGCCTTGTGTCTTCCTGCTAGGCCGCTGTGTGAGTGAGAGCGTGGCAAGGGCAGGCAGGCTGAAGTGGCAGCGCCTATAGGTGGCAGCACCAGCATGGCGCGAAATATGAACTAAGCTAGCAGACAGCATGGGCTGTCTGTGTAGATAGTACAGGCTGTCTACATACGCTCGGCTACCTACCGCGCGTCGTCCCGACGCGACAATACTGGTGGTAAAAGAAACTCGGTCTCTCTCTCGTAGGAACAGGGCACAGAACACAAAATAAAAACATATATACATATGGACATGGAAAAAAAACTTCCTACAGGGAGGGAAGAAAAAACATGTGGGGTGTGCTAAACATCGTGGTCATAGGCAGTGAGCGTCGAAGGGTATCACTGCACGCCTTCCTGCGTCTGGACAGATACTGCAACACAGGAGACATCGCTGCGGCTGAGCTGTGACGTAACAGGGTACGGTCTCCTCTAGAATGGTGAAGCAGTCATCCTACGAGTCGCTGCAGGTTTTCACTCAACCTGGGGCACGACATGCTGGTGCCCTCGAGTGAGGCGTCGACAAAACTCGGCAACTGGGCAGGACTTCTGGCAAGCGACTCAGGATAAGATTTCGTTTGGATTTTTAACCCCGGAGGGTTAGCCACCCAGGATAACCCAAGAAAGTCAGTGCGTCATCGAGGACTGTCTAACTTATTTCCATTGGGGTCCTTAATCTTGTCCCCCAGGATGCGACCCACACCAGTCGACTAACACCCAGGTACCTATTTGCTGCTAGGTGAACAGGACAACAGGTGTAAAGAAACGTGTCAAAATGTTTCCACCCACCGGGAATCGAACCCGGGCCCTCCGTGTGTGAAGCGGGAGCTTTAGCCACCAGGCCACCGGGCCACCTCCACTTCTTGACTGGTACTGTCGCTGGGCTGTCACTGCCGGCGAGCGTGGAGCGAGTTGTGGAGCGAGTCGTGGCAGAGACGACTGGGCGAAACATCTGGGAGTCGTAACATCATACACCAGACTGCAGTGAGCGAGCTAGCGGTCAAAGTGACATCATCTTTGTGCAGGCTGCTCACTGAAGCTTGTGACACGAGGCTGACACAGTGTGTCATTCTCTCGACAGTTGGAGTTATAGCAGACGTTAGTCTAAGCGTCCCCAGACTTGTTTCTCTACATATAACTGCATTCTGAAGGTCTGGAGGTGAAGTGAAACAAATCTCGATGGGAATCCTAGCAGGTACGATTCTGCAGAACATCACGAGCGACGAGCATAAAAGCTTTCTGTACAAGAGGGCTCGGTCACTCGGGGCTGTCTGATAGCTGTCAAACACACTGGTCACACGGGTGACTTAACACAGTGGTGCTACTCAGGTCTGGCTCAGACCTCACTGGACACACGGAAACTTTACACACCACGGTACAACATGGCTTAACTAGCAAATGATACTTTTCTGTGCACAAAACTGACACTAAGACATATACTAAAATGTGAGAACACTGAGAGGAATTAATTAACACACGACATATATCTTCTCTCAATCTTCTGGACAATACTGAAATAATTACTGAACACTCGATGGTGACATCATGTGATGTCGCGAGGTGACGTCAGCAGACATCTCGAGGTGACGTCAGGCAGACATCGTGAGGTGACGTCAGCAGACATCGTGACGTCATGAAGTCGGGCAGCATTGTGGGTGACGTCAATGTGATGCAGGCAGCAGACCACAGCATGATGCCTGGGACATCTGGCTCGGTAACTCACGTGGTTTGTAGATCCACGTGACATCGACCACACCCACGTGGCGTCGTGATCCACATGGTGTCGTGATCTACGTGGCATGTTGATCCACGTAGCTTCGAGTGGCCTTGGGCACTCGGATACACAGCTCTGGCAATGAATCGCACGAAAAACAGCAGAAAACACAGCAGAGGGAGTGGGTAGTGGTGTATGGTAAGCTGGTGAGGTGTGAGAGTACAGCAGGGCGAGGCAAGGAACAGCCACTCCTCCTCCCACAAACACGTGGAGAACTCACACTGGACGCAGAAATCGCCACAAAACTCACCTCTGGCTTGCTGAAACGGCTGTGCTGAGCTGAACAACAACAGCAACATACAAGTGACGCTGAGCACGTGACTTGAGAAACAGTGTGGGACGCTGTAGCGTGGAGTCACTGGGACGCCACTTACAATTCTCGGATAAATTCGGCAAATTTCGGCTGGATCATGCTTGTACCTATGTCTGGGTGCTCAAACGTGCAGACACGACATCAGGATAACTTGTTGAGAGACGGATGCTTGTTGTATGGGATGATGAAGTGAAGATGACTTCATACCTCTTCCTTCCTCTCTCTGGGCAAACAACTGCTGCGACCACCGCTTTCCACCATTTATAATGGGATTGTTTGGTGTTCTGGTAGCGGGGAGTAAATGATACGTCTTCGGAGGCTTCTTTGTTTATTGATAATGTCGTGGTGGGTACACAGGCTTGTGTGTTGTGCCCATGGCCCGGGAGGGCCATCCCACGAGAGAGAGCTAGGAGTAGGCCTTGTGTCTTCCTGCTAGGCCGCTGTGTGAGTGAGAGCGTGGCAAGGGCAGGCAGGCTGAAGTGGCAGCGCCTATAGGTGGCAGCACCAGCATGGCGGGAAATACGAACTAAGCTAGCAGACAGCATGGGCTGTCTGTGTAGACAGTACAGGCTGTCTACAGTCTTTTCCCACAGTGGTTGTGGATGTGTTTTCCCACAGTGATTGTGGTTGTGTTTTCCCACAGTGGTTGTGGTTGTGTTTTCCCACAGTGATTGTGGTTGTGTTTTCCCACAGTGGTTGTGGTTGTGTTTTCCCACGGTGGTTGTGGTTGTGTTTTCCCACAGTGGTTGTGGTTGTGTTTTCCCACAGTGGTTGTGGTTGTGTTTTCCCGCAGTGGTTGTGGTTGTGTTTTCCCACAGTGGTTGTGGTTGTGTTTTCCCAGAGTGGTTGTGGATGTGTTTTCCCACAGTGGTTGTGGTTGTGTTTTCCCACAGTGGTTGTGGTTGTGTTTTCCCACAGTGATTGTGGTTGTGTTTTCCCACAGTGATTGTGGTTGTGTTTTCCCACAGTGATTGTGGTTGTGTTTTCCCACAGTGGTTGTGGTGTTTTCCCACAGTGGTTGTGGTTGTGTTTTCCCACAGTGATTGTGGTTGTGTTTTCCCACAGTGGTTGTGGTTGTGTTTTCCCAGAGTGGTTGTGGTTGTTTTCCCACGGTGGTTGTGGTTGTGATTTCCCACAGTGGTTGTGGTTGTGTTTTCCCAGAGTGGTTGTGGTTGTGTTTTCCCAGAGTGGTTGTGGTTGTGTTTTCCCAGAGTGGTTGTGGTTGTGTTTTCCCACAGTGGTTGTGGTTGTGTTTTTCCCACAGTGGTTGTGGTTGTGTTTTCCACAGTGGTTGTGGTTGTGTTTTCCCACAGTGATTGTGGTTGTGTTTTCCCACAGTGATTGTGGTTGTGTTTTCCCACAGTGATTGTGGTTGTGTTTTCCTCAGTGATTTTGGCTCTGTTTTCCCACAGTGGTTGTGGTTGTGTTTTCCCCAGAGTGGTGTGGTTGTGTTTTTCCCACAGTGGTTGTGGTTGTGTTTTCCCAGAGTGGTTGTGGTTGTGTTTTCGCACAGTGATTGTGATTGTTTTCCCACAGTGGTTGTGGTTGTGTTTTCCCAGAGTGGTGGTGGTTGTGTTTTTCCACAGTGGTTGTGGTTGTGTTTTCCCAGAGTGGTTGTGGTTGTGTTTTCCCACAGTGATTGTGATTGTTTTTCCCACAGTGGTTGTGGTTGTGTTTTCCCACAGTGGTTGTGGTTGTGTTTTTCCACAGTGATTGTGGTTTGTATTTTCCCACAGTGGTTGGTGGTTGTGTTTTCCCAGAGTGGTTGTGGTTGTGTTTTCCCAGAGTGGTTGTGGTTGTGTTTTCCCAGAGTGGTTGTGGTTGTGTTTTCCCAGAGTGGTTGTGGTTGTGTTTTCCCAGAGTGGTTGTGGTTGTGTTTTCCCACAGTGATTGTGGTTGTGTTTTCCCAGAGTGGTCGTGGTTGTGTGTTCCCACAGTGATTGTGGTTGTGTTTTCCCAGAGTGGTTGTGGTTGTGTTTTCTCACAGTAGTTGTGGTTGTGTTTTCCCACAATGATTGTGGTTGTGTTTTCCCACAGTGGTTGTGTTTTCCACAGTAGTTGTGGTTGTGTTTTCCCAGAGTGATGTGGTTGGTTTCCCAGATGATTGTGGTTGTGTTTTCCCAGGTGTGGTTGTTTTCCCAGAGGGTTGTGGTTGTGTTTTCCCAGAGTGGTTGTGGTTGTGTTTTCCCACAGTGGTTGTGGTTGTGTTTTCCCAGAGTGATTGTGGTTGTGTTTTCCCAGTGTGGTTGTTTTCCCAGAGTGATTGTGGTTGTGTTTTCCCAGTGTGGTTGTGATTGTGTTTTCCCACAGTGTTGTGGTTGCGTTTCCCAGAGTGGTTGTGGTTGTGTTTTCCCAGTGTGGTTGTTTTCCCAGAGTGGTTGTGGTTGTGTTTTCCCACAGTGGTTGTGGTTGTGTTTTCCCAGAGTGGTTGTGGTTGTGTTTTCCCAGTGTGGTTGTGGTTGTGTTTTCCCAGTGTGGTTGTGGTTGTGTTTTCCCAGTGTGGTTGTGGTTGTTTTCCCAGCCAATATGACACCTTACACCCTTCTTAGATAAAGGTAGACAGAGATTGTAGATAAAGATAGACACAGATATAGAGATAGAGAAGGAGATAAAGTTAGAGAAAGAAACAATGATTCAGATAGAGAGAGAGAGAGAGAGAGAGATTGATAAAGGTTTGTGTGGTACAGGTGATGGTGAGTCATCCCACCAGCTACAAGACCACTAAGACGGTAGTAAATGTTGAAGATACTCTCCAACGTCTCCAGACTCACCCCTCCAAAAACACTAGGTGAGTCACCCCTCCAAAAGCACTAGGTGAGCCACCCCTCCAAAAACACTAGGTGAGTCACCCCTCCAAAAACACTAGGTGAGTCACCCCTCCAAAAGCACTAGGTGAGCCACCCCTCCAAAAACACTAGGTGAGTCACCCCTCCAAAAACACTAGGTGAGTCACCTCTCCAAAAACACTAGGTGAGTCACCCCTCCAAAAACACTAGGTGAGTCACCCTCCAAAAACACTAGGTGAGTCACCCCTCCAAAAACACTAGGTGAGTCACCCTCCAAAAACACTAGGTGAGTCACCCCTCCAAAAACACTAGGTGAGGCACCCTCCAAAAACACTAGGTGAGTCACCCTCCAAAAATACTAGGTGAGTCACCCTCCAAAAACACTAGGTGAGTCACCCTCCAAAAATACTAGTTGAGTCAGCCCTCCCAAAACACTAGGAGTGTCACCCTCCAGAAACACTAGGTGAGTCACCCTCCAAAAACACTAGGTGAATCAACCCTCCAAAAACACTAGGTGAGTCACCCTCCAAAAACACTAGGTGAGTCAACCTCCAAAAACACTATGTGAGTCACCCCTAAAAAATAATAAGTGAGTCACCCCTCCAAAAACACTAGGTGAGTCACCCTCCAAAAACACTAGGCGAGTCACCCTCCAAAAACACTAGGTGAGTCACCCTCCAAAAGCACTAGGTGAGTCATCCCTAAAAAAACACTAGGTGAGTCATCCCTAAAAAAACACTAGGTGAGTCAGGCCTCCATAAACACTAGGTGACTCACCACTCCAAAACACTATGTGAGTCACCCCTCCAAAAACACTAGGCTAGTCAGCCCTCCAAAAACACTAGGTGAGTCACCCTTCCAAAAACACTAGGTGAGTCACCCCTCCAAAAACACTAGGTGAGTCACTGCCCCAAAACACTGAGTCGCCTCTCCAAAACACTAGGTGAGTCACTCCTCCAAAAACATTAGGTGAGTCACCCCTCCTAATATACTAGGTGAGTCACCTCTCCAAAAACGCTAGGTAAGTCACCCCTCCAAAAACACTAGGTGAGTCACCCCTCCCCCAACACTAGGTGAGTCACTCCTCCAGCACTATGTGATTCACAACAGGCGAGTCACAACACTAGGTGAGTCACAACACTAGGTGAGTCACAACACTAGGTGAGTCATAACACTAGGTGAGGCACAACAGTAGGTGAGTCACAACAGTAGGTGAGTCACCACTAGGTGAGTCAACACTAGCTGAGTCACAATAGAAGTTATAACACTAGATGAGTCACAACACTAGGTGAGTCACCACAACACTCTCCTCAGTCACACTCTTGATACATCATAATAAACTCCTGTCCATGTATCTTATATTCTGTTATAATAATAGATGAGTGACCCCCTCCAAAAACATTAGGTGATTCACCTCTTCAAAAACATTAGGTGAGCCACCCCTCCTAAAACACTAGTGAGTAATCCCTCGAAAATCACTAGGTGAGTCACCCCTCCTAAAACACTAGGTGAGTCACCCCTCGAAAAACACTGGGTGAGTCACCCCTCGGAAAACATTAGGTGAGTCACCCCCCTAAAAACATTAGGTGAGTCACTCCTCCAAAAACATCAGGTGAGTCACCCCTCCTAAAACACTAGGTGAGTCCTCGAAAAACACTAGGTGAGTCACCCCTCCTCCATCACTAGGTGAGTCACCCCTCCTCCAGCACTAGGTGAGTCACTCCTCCAGCACTATTTGAGTCACAATAGACGAGTCGCAACACTAGGCGAGTCACAACTCTATGTGAGTCACAACACTGAGTCACAATAGATGAGTTGCAAAAGTAGATGAGTCACAACACTAGCTGAGTCACAATAGATGAGTTACAGCACTAGATGAGGAATATATAATAGCTAAATTCAAATCCAAATACCTACAAAAACCTCTCACAGTGATAAACATCAACAGAGTACCACAGGAAGTATGATAACTGATGCACGCATGAACAAAGATCACTTGCTTCTCTCAGGTGACTTCAATATAAATCTCCTGCAAGACCAGGACCCACACGTTACTGAATTCACAAACACTATGAGTAACTGCTTGTTGCTACCAACAGTAACAAAACCTACAAGAATTACAGAGACTAGTGTTTCCCTACTAGACCACATCTGGACCAACACCATAAAAAATCAGGCATAATCACAGATAATACCACAGACCATCACAAACCTTGGCAAATTACCCCAAGACACTACTAAAGTCACTTTCAGACTTCACAATGAGGCAGCCATTAATAACTTCACAGCAGCAGTGACAAACATTGACTGGCACACTGAGCTAGAAATCTATACAGATATTGAGGAATGTATAAATAATTTTCTAAAAAAGACCCAATACCTCTATAACAAGCACTGCCCTAAAAAACTAAACAGATGACAGCTAAGAGACTGAACAGTCCCTGGCTAACACCCAGCATCCTCAAATCCATAAATACAAAGCACCTATACGAAAAACAGTACAGAATGGGTCACATAACGAGAGACCAAACAAAACGTTACTCGTCAATCCTAACCAGCCTGATAAGAAGGGCTAAAAAATTGTATTATGAGAACAGATTATCCAACCTAAAAGATGATATAAAAAAGACCTGGAAAACCCTATCAGAAATTCTAGGAACATTAAAGATATCACGAAATGGCGCAATTGAACTAACAAAGCCAGATGAGCCCCAACTCCCACCAACTGAAACAGCAGACTCAATGATTTCTTCTCCACCATAGGAAAAAACCTTGCCAATAAAATCCCAAGCTCAGATACCCCAACCAATGACTACCTCACTGGCAACTACCCGAACACACTGTTCCTAGCTCCGACTAACCCAACAGAAGTCTCCCTTATTATCAACACACTAAAAAACATCACAGGATATTTAAATACCTTCCCTCCCTTTATATACAATAAAGTGTCGCAAGTGCTGTCACCAATCATTGCAACACTCTTTAACAAATCCATCGAATCCTCTACCTTCCCCACAGTTCTCAAAATAGCGAGGGTCACCCCGATACATAAAGGAGGAGACCAAACAGACTTGAATAACTATAGGCCAATATCCAACTTACACCCTCTCTCTAAAAATCTTCGAAAAATTAATTCATAAACGAATCTATTCCTATCTCATCTCCCACAACATACTCAACCCCTGTCAGTTTGGGTTCAGGCCTAATAAAAATACAAATGATGCTATTATATACATGCTAGAACAAATATACATTGCAATAGAGTAAAAAAAAAGTCCCACTGGGAATCTTCATTGATTTACGTAAAGCTTTTGATACAGTTGATGACGACTTGCTCCACATAAAATTATCACACTATGGTATAAGAGGGCACTCCCTCAACTACCTAAAGTCATAACTCAGCAGCAGAAGCCAATATGTGTACACAAATGGAGCAAACTCTTCCACACAGCCAGTTACAGTTGGTGTCCCACAGGGAGGTGTCCTTGGCCCTCTTCTCTTTATTTACATAAATGACCTACCAAATGCATCGCAACTACTCAAACCCACACTATTTGCAGATGACACTACATACGTCTTGTCTCACCCGATCCCAGTCATGCTAGCCAATACTGTGAATACCGAATTACAGAAAATATCTGCTTGGATGAGGACTAACAAACTTACTCTAAACATTGACAAAACCTACTTCATTCAGTTTGGTAACAGAGCTACAGATGTCCCTCTTAACATAATGATAAATGGATCACCTATCACAAAGCTCACAGAGGGAAAATTCTTAGGAATCCATCTTGACAATAGACTCAAATTTCAAACACATATACAACAAATTTCCAAGAAAATTTCCAAGACCGTAGGCATATTATCGAAGATACGGTACTATGTTCCACAGTCAGCCCTCCTGGCCACATATCACTCACTTACTTACCCCTATCTCCTATGGAATTTGTGCATGGGGCTCAACAACAATAAACCATATCAAACCATTAATTACCCAACAAAAGGCTGCAGTCAGAATGATAACAAATTCCCACTACAGGCAGCACACTCCACCAATATTCAAAACTTTAAACCTACTCACCATACAAAACATCCATACTTATTATTATACCTACTACATATATAGAACACTTAACTCTGATATAAACCCTCCCCTCAAACGTCTCCTTACTAACCTCAACAGAACACATGACCATAACACATGGCACAGATCACTCTTTGATGTTCCTTGTGTCCATCTCACGATATGCAAAAACTCAATGCACATAAAAGGCCTAAAAATCTGGAATTCACTACCTGTGAATATAAAAGAAACACAGTCTGTTTATAAATTCAAGTCTCTTCTTAAAATTCACTTACTCACCCACAACCGAATAAATACTGAATAATTGTATCTCATAAATGTTAAACCTGTGACCCAATCAAACTTTGTTATTTTTAATTACATTACCTAACAGAATACTCCATTCTACGGAATGCACAGCAACACAGTAAATGAACTTATGACCTGTCAGTGAAATACTCATTTATGCTTAATTGTTAACTGTTTACAACAAGTGTCCTTGGCCCTCTTCTCTTTCTCCTATACATAAATGACCTACCAAATGCTTCGCAATTACTCAAACCCACACTATTTGCAGATGACACTACATACGTCTTCTCCCACCCGAGCCCAGTCACGCTAGCCAATACTGTAAATACAGAATTACAGAAAATATCTACCTGGATGAGGACTAACAAACTTACACTAAACATTGACAAAACCTACTTCATTCAGTTTGGTAACAGAGCTACAGATGTCCCTCTTAACATAATGATAAACGGATCACCTATCACAAAGCTAACAGAGGGAAAATTCTTAGGAATCCACCTTGATAATAGACTCAAATTTCATACACATATACAACAAATTTCTAAGAAAATTTCCAAGACTGTAGGCATACTATCGAAGATACGGTACTATGCTCCACAGTCAGCCCTCTGGCCCTATATCACTCTCTTA